GTGTGTGTGTGTGTGTGTGTATAGATATATAAAATGTGTGTGTGTGCGCGCGCCTGTATGCACACACACATTGCGGACACTATAGCGCACGGCGCACGTCGCAGGACACGTGTGCCCGCTGGGGTACGGCGCCCCGCTCCCTGCCGGGCCGCGCGCTGCGCCGGTTGGACCCCCGCCCACCCTCTCGCTCTCCCCGCAGCCGCCAGCAGCCCCGCCGGCAGCCCCCGCAGCTTCTCCGGAGGGACCCCCGCCAGCTTCCCGTTCGCCCGCAGGTGAGCCCCCCACCCGCACCCGGATCCCCCGGGATCCCCGGAGATCCGCCCGCCTCTGCCACTCCCTCCCCGACGCCCCGATCTTCCCAGCTATTTGGATGCCACTGCCCATGATCCCCGGAGACCTGCCCGCCTCTGCTGCTCCCTCCCCAACGCCCCGATATTCCCAGCTATTCGGATGCCGCTGCCCATGATCCCCGGAGACCCGCCCGCCTCCGCTGCTCCCTCCCCGATATTCCGATCTATTCGGATGCCACTGCCCATGATCCCTGGGGATCTGCCCACATCTGCCGCTCCCTCCCCGATATTCCGATCTATTCAGATTCCGCTGCCCATGATCCCCAGGCATCCGCCCGCATCCGCCGCTCCCTCCCCGATATTCCTATCTATTTGGATGCCGCTGCCCATGATCCCTGGAGATCCACCCGCATCCGCTGCTCCCTCCCCGACGTCCCGATAGTCCGATCTATTTGGATGCCGCTGCCCATGATCCCCGGAGATCCACCCGGATCTGCCGCCCCCTTCCTGACATCCCTATTTATTCAGCTGCGCATGATCCTCAGAGATCCACCCGGATCCACCGCTCCCCCTCCAATGTCCCGGTATTCCGATCTATTCGGATGCAGCTGCACTTGATACTCGGAGATCCACCCGGATCCGCCGCTTCCTCCCTGACGTCCCGATATTCCGATCTATTCGGATGCAGCTGCACTTGATCCTCGGAGATCCACCCGGATCTGCCACTCCCCCCCCCAACGCCCTGATATTCCGATCTATTTACTAAAAATGGAAAGAAAATAATTGCATTTTATTTCCTAAAAATATAATAAAGGCAATTGTGTTTTATTTACTAAAAATAAAATACATAAAATCGTGTTTCATTTTCTAAAAAAGTAAATATAATTGTAGTTTATTTACTAAATAAAAATAAATATAATTGTAGTTTATTTACTAAATTAAAATAAATGTAATTGTAGTTTATTTACTCAAAATAAAACCAATCGTAGTTGATTTACTAAAAGTAAAATAAATACAATTGTGTTTTATTTACTGTAAATAAAATAGATACAATTGTGTTTTATTATAAAATAAAATAAATACAATTGTGTTTCATTCACTAAAAAAAATACAACTGTTTTATTTACTAAATTAAAATAAATGTAATTGTAGTTTATTTACTCAAAATAAAACCAATTGTAGTTGATTTACTAAAAATAAAATAAATACAATTGTGTTTTATTCACTAAAAAATAAAATAAATACAATTGTGTTTTATTCACTATAAAATAAATACAATTGTGTTTTATTCCCTAAAAATAAAATAAATACAATTGTGTTTTATTCACTATAAAATAAATACAATTGTGTTTTATTCCCTAAAAAATAAAATAAATACAATTGTGTTTTATTCCCTAAAAAATAAAATAAATACAATTGTGTTTTATTCCCTAAAAAATAAAGAACTTATTTTAATTTATTTCCTGAAAGCTTTTCCAGCTCATCCTTTTTGTTATTTCTTCCTTCCGAGCTTTCCCACCCCGTCCCTACAAACCTCTCGGGGCCGATGGTCTTCGGAGTCGTGCTCGCTGATGGGGGGCTGATGGGCTTCGGAGTGCTGGGGGTCGCGGTTTTTCTCTCTCTCTCTCTCAATTCTCCCCCTTTTCTTCCCCTTCCCGCTTTCCGACCCGGATTCAACCTCGCCCTCCCGCCGGACCCATGACCCATCGTCCACAGCCATGGCCCCCGGCCGGAAAGGTACGTCTTCGGAGTGGGATTTGGGTTCCCGGGGCTCCCGAAATCCGGGGTTTTTGGCATCCCGCGGGGTGGGGGGACCGGCGGCCCGGGTACGCCCATCATCCCCGCCCTGCGGGGCCACGGGGACCCCCCCGGGGGGGGTGTCCGAGGGCGGCCATCTTGTGAGGGCGCCCACGAGCTCGGCCCGGGTCTCTCTCCCCACAGGGCTGACGGACGGAGGTGGTCCCTGGCCTCCCTCCCCTCATCCGGATACGGGACCAACACGCCCAGCTCCACCGTTTCGGTAACCGGGGACGATGGGTGTGGGGGTGGCACCCCCCGGGAGGGGATGATGGATTTACCCCTTTCCCCTCCCCTTTCCCGGGGGATTGTGGGAAGGGGGGCAGGCCTGGCGGGGCGGCGGGGGCTTCTCCCTCCCGGGAAACCCTAAGAGGCGATTCATCGATTACGTCCAAAAATAATAATAATTAATCAATCAATCAATAATGGATCAATAATGGATCAATAATGGATCAATCATAGCTCGGGATATTAATTTGTAGCAGCATCAATAGGGGAATTAGAAATAGTAAAATTATAAATAGTAGAATTATAAATCGCATGATTAGTGTGGGAGGATAGATTGCTAATGATAACGATAGTTATTGATCAATAATAGCTCCGGAATAGTTCAATCATAGATCAATAATAGCTCAGGCTATGAATTTATATTAGTTTAAATGGTATAATTATAAATAGTAAAATTATTAATAGTATAATTATAAATCGCATGATTAGTGTGGGAGGATATATTGCTAATGAGAACGATAGAGAGTTATTGATTAATAATAGCTCCGGAATTGTTCAATAATAGATCAATAATAGCTCCGGAATAGTTCAATAATAGATCAATAATAGCTCAGGCGATTAATTTATATCAGTTTAAATAGTATAATTATAAATAGTATAATTATAAATGGCTTGATTAATGTGGGAGAATAGATTGCTAATGAGAACGATAGAGAGTTATTGACCAATAATAGCTCCAGAATAATCAATCGGATTAATTGGTAATTAATTCTTTTTATTTAGTTAGTTATTTATTTTGTTTATTTAAAGTTTCTGTGTGCCGTCCCCTTCGCAAAAAGCCTCGGGGCGGCTTACAGGAATAAACAGACATAATCCAAATTATTATATCCTTGAATTCATTAATTAAAATCCATTAATTGGCATTATTCCATGAATCCCGTTTTGGGGGCTCTGCCGGCCGCCCCGGGGGGACCCCATCTGGGCTGGGGGATCCGGGGCTGGGGGGGGGGCGCCTCATCCGCCCCCCTCTTCCTTTTCCTTTTCCTCTTCCCCTTCCCCTCTCTCTTCCTCTTCCTCTTCCTCTTCCTCTTCCCCTCCCCTCTCTCCTCCTCTTTCCCTTCCCCTTCCCCTCTCTCTTCCTTTTCCCCTTCCCCTTCCCCTCTCTCCTTTCTCTTCCTCTTCCCCTTTCTCCTCCTCTTCCCCTTCCTCTTCCCCTTCCCTTCTCTCCTCCTCTTCCCCTTCCCCTTCCCCTCTCTCCTCCTCTTCCCCTTCCCCTTTCTCCCCCCCGACCGCAGTCTTCCTCGTCTTCCTCGCGGGAGCGCCTGCACCAGCTGCCCTCGGAACCCACGCCGGATGAGCTCCACTTCCTCTCCCGGCACTTCCGGGGCGCGGGGGGCGCCGGGGGCGAGGAGGGGCGCCCCCACTTCCGGCCGCGGTCCCGGAGCCTGAGGTGCGTGGGGGGTCCGGGTGGGGGGGCTGGGGGAGTGTGGGGGGGCCGGGCCGTGTGGGGGGCCCCCATGGGAGGCAGGGGAGGGGGGTGAGGGAGGGATGGGGGGACCCCCTTTGGGTGGGAGGGAGGGGGGCCTGGTACGGATGGGGGGACCCCCATTGGCTGGGAGGGGGGCTTGGTAAGAATGGGGGACCCCCATTGGATGTGGGGTGAGGGGACTTGGACCACGAGGGGGACCCCCATTGGATGGGGGTGAGGGGGGCTTGGTACGGATGGGGGGACCCCCATTGGGTGGGGGTGAGGGGGGCTTGGTATGGATGGGGGGACCCCTATTGGGTGGGAGGGGGGCTTGGTAAGAATGGGGGACCCCCCTTGGATGTGGGGTGAGGGGGGCTCGGGATGGACGGGGTGGGAGGGGGGCTTGGTACAGATGGGGGTACCCCCATTGGGTGGGATTGAGGGGGGCTTGGTACGAATGGGGGACCCCCATTGGATGTGGGGTGAGGGGGCTTGGACCACAAGGGGGACCCCCATTGGCTGGGGGTGAGGGGGGCTTGGTACGGATGGGGGGATCCCCATTGGATGCGGGGTGAGGGGGCTTGGACCACGAGGGGGACCCCCATTGGATGGGGGGACCCCCGTTGGGTGGGAGTGGGGCTGTGGGGGGCTGTGGGGCGGCCCGGGCCCTCCAGGACTGCCTGGGGGTCATGCCCCCGGCCCCCCATGCCGACTGTGCTCCCCCCCCGCAGCCCCGGGAGGACCGGCGGTGCCGTCGACAACGAGGTCGTGATGCTAAACCACGTCTACAAGGAGCGCTTCCCCACGGTGAGTGGCACATGGGAATCCGGCCCCACAGCGGCGGGGGGGCACTCGGGGGGTGCTGGGCCCCCCCCACTGGGTCGGGCCTGGGGGGATCAGGGGAGGGCAAACGGAGGCCATCTAGTCTGACCCCGGCCTTGCTCAGAGGAACATGGGCACAGAGGGAGGCAGAAGGGGCCTCCAAGGTCATCTAGTCTGACCCCGGCTCTGCTCAGAGGAACATGGGAACAGAGGGAGGCGGAAGGGGCCTCGGGGCCATCTAGGCAGACCCCAGCTCTGCTCAGGGGAACATGGGAACCAAGGGAGGAGCATGGGACCTTAGGGCCATCTAGTCTGACCCCGGCTCTGCTCAGGGAAACCAGGGAACCGAGCAAGGCTGAAGGGGCCTCCAAGGTCATCTAGTCTGACCCCAGCTCTGCTCAGAGACCCGTAGAAAGAGAGCGAGGCAGAAGGGGCCCCCGAGGTAAAAAAATATAGAATATGTCTATTATAAATATATCGAATACGTTTGTTACAAAACACATCGCCCGGAGAGGTGCCCGTTCCCCCGCGCTTCGGGCCCCGGCAGCGTGCCGGAGGTGGCGCGGCACTCTGCACGTGCTCCGAGGCCCCTCCCCTTCTTCCCCTCGAGTCGGGGGACCCCGGGGATCCTCCCTCCCCACCGGCTCCCGGGCATTTCCGGTCCTCCTCCTCCTCCTCCCCGCAGGCCACGGCCCAGATGGAGGAGCGCCTGGCCGAAATCATCCGGAGCGGCTCCCCCGGCGCGACGCCCCCGTTGGGGGACGGCGTCCTGGGGTTCGTCCACCACCAGGTCCTGGAGCTGGCCCGGGACTGCCTGGCCACCTCGCGGGGCGCCCTGGTCACGGCCCGGTACTTCCTGGAGCTGCAGGAGAAGCTGGAGAGGATGCTGAGAGACGTGAGACCCATCGTCCCCAGCCCCCGGGCGGGGAGGGGGTGTCGGGGCGTGGGGTGCGGGGCTGCCTGCCTGCCTGGGCCGGCAGCCAGCGGGCGGCTGCAGCGGCCTGGAGTCGCAAATTTTTGGGGAGCTATAGGCAGGGATGGAGATGTTGTCTCATAGGGGAGCTATAGGGGGAGATGGAGATGTTGTCTTGGGGGGTCGGGGCGCGGGGTGCCCTGGTCACAGCCCGGTACTTCCTGGAGCTGCAGGAGAAGCTGGAGAGGATGCTGAGAGACGTGAGGCCCATCGTCCCCAGCCCCCAGGTGGGGAGGGGGTGGCGGGGCGTGGGGCGTGGGGCTGCCCGCCCACCTGGGCCAGCAGCGGCCTGGAGTCGCAAGTTTTTGCGGAGCTTTAGGCAGGGATGGAGATTTTCTCTCAGTGGGGAGCTATAGGGGGAGATGGAGATGCTGTCTCAGTGGGGAGTTATAGGGGGAGATGGAGATGTTGTCTCGTGGGGGTCAGGGCGGGGCACAGGGCACCCTGGATGGAGATGTCTCGGGTGACTATGGGGGGGATGCGGATATTGTCTCGTTGGGGAGCTATAGGGGGAGATGCCGATGTATCCCTGGGGGTACTATAGGAGGGGGTGCAGATGTCTCAGTTGGGAGCTGTGGGGGAGGTGCAGACGTTCTCTCAGTGGGGAGCTATGGGGAGATGCAGCTGTCTCGGTGGGGAGCTATAGGGGAGATGCACATGTTGTCTCAGCGGGTAACTATAGGCGGAGATGGAGACGGTGTCTCAGCAGGGAGCTTAAGTTAACCAAATCCGGTTGGGGAAGGCATTGCTGCTTGGTCCGCCCTTCCGTGGGGCTGCAGGCTTGTCCCCCCACGGGACAGGCCCGCGAGGGAGCTGCGCCCTCGCCCACGGGGCCCCCGAATGAGCCCCTCGTTTCCTGCCAGCTCCGTCCACACACCGGGGGGCAGACGGCTCTCTCACCTCCCCCACAGGCCCAGGAACGATCCGAGAGCGAGGAACTGCACTTCGTGGAGCAGCTCATCCGGAAATTGCTCCTCGTCATTTCCCGCCCGGCACGGCTGCTGGAATGTTTGGTATGGATGGGGCCCCTCCGTGCCGGGGGGGGGGGACGGGCAGAGGAAAGGTGCTCCACCATTTGCCGGCCTATGGGACCCCCTTCTGCTGCCCCCCTCCTGACCCAGGCTTGCTCAGAGAAACATGAAAACAGAGCGAGGTGGAAGGGGCCTCTGGGTCATCTAGTCTGACCCCGGCTTTGCTCAGAGACACTTAGAAACAGGGTGAGGCAGAAGGGGTCTGTGGGTTATCTAGTCTGACCCTGGTTCCACTCAAAGAAATGCAGAAACCAAGCGAGGCGGAAGGGGCCTCTGGGACATCTAGTCTGATCCTGTCTCAGTCTGGCTTCGCTCATAGAAACATAGAGAGGGGGAAGGGGTCTGGGCCATCTAGTCTGACCCCAGCTCTGCTCAGAGAAAGATAGAAACAGAGCGAGGCATGAAGGGTCTCCTGGGCCATCTAGTCTGACCCCGTCCCAGTCTGGCTCCGCTTATAGAAACATCGAAACTGGGTGAGGCAAAAGGGGTCTCCCGGGCAATCTAGTCTGACCCCAGTCTGCTCAGAGAAACATAGCAACAGAGCGAGGCAGAAGGGGCCTTCGGGTCATCTAGTCTGACCCCAGCTCTGCTCAGAGAAACATGGAAACAGAGTGAGGCAGAAGGGGTCTCCGGGTCATCCAGTCTGACCCCGTGTCTCACAACAAGCCACCCCCGTGCCTGTCCAGCATCCGGACCCTCTCTTCGGACACGCCCTCGGGTCGCCCTCGGGCCAAGGATGGGTTGCGTTGTCCCGCCGGGCTCGGCCACCCCCCCCTCTCTTTCTCTTTTTTGTCCTGGCAGGAATTCGACCCTGAGGAGTTTTACCACCTGCTGGAGGCGGCCGAGGGACACGCCAAGCTCGGCCACGGGGTCAAGGCGGACATCCCGAGATACATCATCCACCAGCTCGGGCTCGCCAAGGACCCCCTGGACGGTGAGCTGGGCCGTCCCCGGCCAGGGTGGGGGGGGGCACCGCATCCTCCGCCGGGATGGAAGCTTCCGGAACGATGGGCAATGGCCGTCCCCATTTTTCTTCTCTCCCCAGACAAGGCCCAGCCCGGCCCGGCGGAGGGCCCATCGTCCACGGCCCCCGAGGCAGCGGATCCGGCCCCCGAGGTAGGACCGCCCGTGCCTGCCCAGGCACATGGGATGCGGCCCCGCGGCCGGAGGGGGGAGCAACCGAAGCCCAGCAGGCCCAGGAGTATGGGTCTGGTGGGCTTTGGCCCCAATGGCCCGGTGCTGGCAGCTGTGGGCTGGGGGGCTTGGGGCCCACGGAGGTGGGGATGATGGGCTTGGTTGCCCACTCTATGGAGACAGATGGAGGGATGGGGCGGGGAGCTCTCAGGAGGGCTCCAAACGGGACCCAGGGAGGGGCTGCACTGGGGAGAGACTGGGGCAACTGGGCTTGGGGGGACTTGGGAGGAGAGAGGGAGATGGGACGTGGTGTTCCTCTAGGAGGTCCTCCAAGAAGGAGGGTCAGGACAAGATGGTGGAGGGCCCATGTGCCTGGGCGGGGGGGGGATCCCCACACTGGGAACGTTCGGGGAGGAACTGGGTGGCCAGATGGGTGGGGTGGTGGGACGTGGGGTCCTGCAATGGCGGGGGGTGGACTGGATGGCCTCCATGGTCCCTCCAGCCCCACTATCCCATCATCCTGATCCAGGGGTTGGACTAGATGGCCTCCCCGGCCCCTTCAGCCCCACTATTCCATGATCCCATCATCCACGGGCTGGACCTGATGGCTTTCATGGCCCTTTCCATGCAGTAGGCACCTCCGGGCCATCTAGTCTGACCCCGGCTCTGCTCAGGGGAACATGGGAACCGAGAGAGGCAGATGGGTCCTCTGGGCCATCTAGTCTGACCCCAGCTCTGCTCATAGAAGCATAGAAACAGAACGAGGCGGAAGGGGTCTCTAAGGTCATCTAGTCTGACCCCGGCTCTGCTCAGAGCCACATGGGACCCGAGGCAGAAGGAGACCCTGAGTCATGTAGTCATCTCGCCCCCCCCCCCATCCAGGCCTCCACCCTCCACCCCCGCCGCCAGCCCTGCGAGAGCGACTTCGAAACCATCAAGCTGATCAGCAACGGGGCCTACGGGTGAGTCCGGGCAACGGGGCGCGGGGGGGGGGGGGGAGGGAAGAGTCGGGCTGGCCGGGGATGGTGGAGCTCCCCCCCCCCCCCCCCCCCAGGGCCGTCTACCTGGTGCGGCACCGCGAGAGCCGCCGCCGCTTCGCCATGAAGAAGATCAACAAGCGCAACCTGGCGCTGCGGAACCAGATCCAGCAGGTTTTCGTGGAGAGGGACATCCTGACGTTCGCCGACAACCCTTTCGTGGTGGGGATGTTCTGCTCCTTTGAGAGCCGCCGGCACCTCTGCCTGGTCATGGAGTACGTGGAAGGTGAGTGCGAGGGGGTTCCGGGGCATCTAGTCTGACCCCGGCTCTGCTGGGAGATGCATGGAAAGAAAGGGAGGAAGATGGGGGCTCTGGGTCATCTAGTCTGACCCCGGCTCTGCCCAGAGAAACATAGACACAGAGCGAGACAGATGGGACCTGGGGGCTATCTAGTCTGACCCCAGCTCTGCTCAGAGGAGCATGGGAATAGAGGGAGGCAGGAGGGGTCTCTGGGGCATCTAGTCTGACCCCGGCTCTGCGCGGAGGAAGGTGGGTGTTCTGCTCCTTCGAGAGCCGCCGGCACCTCTGCCTGGTCATGGAGTACGTGGAAGGTGAGGCTGGAGGCGGTTCTGGGGCATCTAGTCTGACCCCGGCTCTGCTGGGAGTAGCATAGAAAAAGAGCGAGGGGAAAAGGGGGCTCTGGGTCATCTAGTCTGACCCCGGCTCTGCTCAGAGGAACATGGGAACGGAGCGAGGCGGAAATGGTCTCTGGGGCATCTAGTCTGACCCCGGCTCTGCACGGAGAAAGGTGGGTGTTCTGCTCCTTCGAGAGCCGCCAACACCTCTGCCTGGTCATGGAGTATGTGGAAGGTGGGGCGGGAGGGGGCTGTGGGTCATCTAGTCTGACCCCAGCTCTGCTGGGAGGAAGATAGAAAGGGAGCGAGGTGGATGGGACCTAAGGGTCAGCTAGTCTGACTCCGGCTCTTCTGGGAGAAGCATAGAGACAGAGAGAGGAAGATGGGACCTCAGGGTCATCTAGTCTGACCCCGGCTCTGCCCAGAGAAACATAGACGCGGTGCGAGGCAGATGGGACCTCAGGGTCATCTAGTCTGACTCCGGCTCTGCTCAGAGACACATAGAGACAGAGAAGGCGGGAGGCGTCTCTGGGTCATCTAGTCTGACCCCAGCTTTGTGCGGGGGAAGATGGGAACAGAGCGAGGCAGATGGGGCCTCTGGGACATCTAGTCTGACCCAGGTTCTGCTCAGAGGAAAATGGGAACCGAGCGAGGCGGAAGGAGCCTCCGGGTCATCTAGTCTGACCCCGGCTCTGCTCAGGGGAACATGGGAACCGAGTGAGGCGGAAGGGGTCTCCGGGACATGTAGTCTGACCCTGGCTCCCCTCGTATAAACAGAGTTAGGCAGAAGGAACCTCAGGGTCATCTAGTCTGACCCCGGCTCTGCTGGGAGGTGCATAGAAACAGAGCGAAGCAGATGGGTCCTCCGGAGAGGCCACCCAGCCGGTCGGGACGCCCCGTGAGGGGCCGTGCCAGCCTGCTCTCTCTCTCTCCCTTCCAGGGGGGGACTGTGCCACGCTGCTGAAGAACATGGGGCCCCTCCCCGTGGACATGGCCCGGATGTACTTCGCTGAGACTGTACTGGCCTTGGAGTACCTTCACAGTTACGGGATTGTGCACCGTGATCTGAAGCCTGACAAGTAAGGGGGTGAGGGGGCGGGGCTAGTGGGAGGGGGCGGGGCCAGTGGAGGGCGGGGCCAGCGGAAGGGCGGGGCCATTGGGAGTGGAGGGGCCTCTGGCCCATCGTCCCCGCCCCCCATTTTCCCAGCGGGCTCCCAGGCGTGGCTGTGCCGTGGGAGTCGGAGTGTCGTCAGAATGGGAGCGGCCTGGCCTACTGGGGAACGGGTGGGGGGGAGGTGGGGATCCCATCGTCCCCAGCTTTGGGAAGCACCTGGAGGGCAGCCTCTTTGGGGGAGCTCTCTTGAGAGTGGGACTTCGGCTCCCATCGTCCCCGGCTGCGGTTGGCAGGGCCCGGAGCGTCCGGAGGGGAGCAGCTCTGAGGGAACTGGAACGTGGTTTCTTCAATGCTCTCGTAAGCCGGTGCCTCCTGGCTGGGTCGGACTTCGGCACCCATCATCCCCGGCTGCGGGGACTCCGAGCCCCGGCCAGCCAGAGGGCAGCAGCTTTGGCAACATTTTGGCAGATCCCCTTTGCGCGAACTCGTCTCCCGCTTCCCTAAAACCCCGCCGTCCCAACGGCCAGGACTCCACTCCCCATCATCCCCAGCCACGGGAGGCACACCCCCCGACCAGTTGCCGGCCGACAGCCTTGCGAAAAATCGACTGGCTTCTTATAGAAGTGGGTTGATTCTTCTTTTCATATGCTGCCACCTCCCAGATGGGTCGGACTCCAGTGCCCATTGTCCCCAGCCCCCAGGCCCGGTGCCCCCGCCAGGCGGAGGGTGGGAGAAACCGGGAAAACAGACAAACCCCGACGGCTTCTCACAAGCCGCTTCCCGCGCCTTGGGCTCCGGAAAGGCCAGACTTCCTCTCCCATCATCCCCAGCCCTGGGATGGGACTTCCCCTCCCATCATCCCCAGCCCCTGCTGCCCTTACTAGGCGGACAGTGGGAGCAACTGGGACAACGGACAAACCCCGACGGCTTCTCACAAGCCGCTTCCCGAGCCTTTGGCTCCGGAGGGGTTGGACTTCCCCTCCCATCATCCCCAGCCCTGGGATGGGACTTCCCCTCCCATCATCCCCAGCCCCTGGGCCTGGTGCCCCCGCCAAGCAGATGGTGGGAGAAACCGGGACAACGGACAAACCCCGACGGCTTCTCACAAGCCGCTTCCCGCGCCTTGGGCTCCGGAGGGGCCAGACTTCCCCTCCCATCATCCCCAGCCCCGGGACCGTGTCCCCGCACCCCGCCGGGGGGCCGACAGCCCCAGGAAGGCCGGCCCAGGTGCTCCCCGAGCCTTTCCTGAGCTGGGTCGCCTCCAACTCCGGTCCCCATCCGCCCTACCCAGGATGGGGCACCCGGCCGGGGATGATGGGCCGCTCGGCCGGGGCCCTTACTTTTCCTCGTCCCTCCACGCAGCTTGCTCATCACCTCCATGGGCCACATCAAGCTGACCGACTTCGGCCTGTCCAAGATCGGCCTGATGAACATGGCCACCAACCTCTACGAGGGGCATGTGGAGAAGGACACCCGGGAGTTCCTGGACAAGCAGGTGGGGATGATGGGTGTGGGGAGCACAGGGGGCCCCCAGAACAGCCTCAAAAACCCCCAAAACCATGTTCCCCGGCCCGGAAAACCAGCTTGAGGAGGAGACCGTGTCCCTCAGAAGTTCTTGAGATGATCGGTCCAACCTTGGAAAGTCATTGTCCTGCAGGGACTTGGTTTCTTGGGCCCCGGAACCCATGTTCCTGGGATGTGGGGATGATGGGACCCTGAGTCTGCACTTTGGGGCCTCCCCTCCAGCCCTTAAAACCAGCTTGGGAAGAAGACCGTGTCCCTCAGAAGTTCTTGAGATGATGGGTCCAAGCTTGGAGTTCCTGGACAAGCAGGTGGGGATGATGGGTGTGGGAAGCACGGGGGGCCCCCAGAACCCCCATAACAGCCTCAAAAGCCCCCCAAAACCATGTTCCCCGGCCTGGAAAACCAGCTTGAGGAGGAGACCGTGTCCCTCAGAAGTTCTTGAGATGATCAGTCCAACCTTGGAAAGTCATTGTCCTGCAGGGACTTGGTTTCTTGGGCCCTGGAACCCATGTTCCTGGGATGTGGGGATGATGGGACCCTGAGTCTGCACTTTGGGGCCTCCCCCCTAGCCCTTAAAACCAGCTTGGGAAGAAGACCGTGTCCCTCAGAAGTTCTTGAGATCTTCAGCCCCACCTTGGAAGGTCATTGTCCTGCAGGGACTCGGTTTCTTGGGCCCCGGAACCCATGTTCCTGGGACTTGGGGACGATGGGACCCTGAGTCCGCCCTCCGGGGCCACCTCCCCCCTCCCCCGGAGAACCAGTTTGAGAAGAACACCGTGTCCCTCAGAAGTTCTTGAGATCTTCACCTTGGAAGGTCCTCCAAAGAACATCCGGGACTCGGTTTCTTGGGCCCCGGAACCCATGTTCCTGGGATGTGGGGATGATGGGACCCCGAGTCTGCTCTTTGGAGAACCAGCTTGAGCAGACCGTGTCCTTCAGAAGTCCTTGAGATCTTCACCTTGGAAGATCCTCCAAGGAACGTCCAGGACCCGGTTCCTCGGCCCCGGAACCCATGTTCCTGGGATGCAGGGATGATGGGACCCCGAGTCCACTCTTAAAGGCCTCCCCCCCAGCCCTTAAAACCAGCTTGAGAAGAAGACCGTGTCCCTCAGAAGTTCTTGAGATCTTCACCTTGGAAGATCCTCCAAGGGACGTCCGGGACTCGGTTCCTCGGCCCCGAGGCCCAAGTTCCTGGGATGCGGGGACGATGGGACCCCGAGTCCACTCTTTGGGGCCGAGGACCCCGGAGAAGACCTCCCCTTCTCCCCGCAGGTCTGTGGCACTCCGGAGTACATCGCCCCCGAGGTGATCCTCTCCCAGGGCTACGGCAAGCCGGTGGACTGGTGGGCGATGGGCGTCGTACTCTACGAGTTCCTGGTGGGCTGCGTGCCCTTCTTCGGGGACACGCCGGAGGAGCTCTTCGGGCAGGTCGTCAGCGGTAAGTGCCCCCCCCAGGGCTCAGGATGATGGGTGGCAGAGTCCGGAGGGGGAGGACGTCCAGTCCCGTCCCTGGATCACAATCATGGATGGTGGAGCTGAAGGTGGTCATGGAGGACATCAAGTCCCATCATAGAGTCGGATGGGGCCATGGAGTCCGACCAGGGATGATGGGATCATGGGATGGTGGAGTTGGATGGGGCTTGAAGGCCAGCAGGTCCAACTCTAGAATCATAGTAGAGTTGGAAGGGGCCATGGAGTCTGACCGTGGATGATGGGATCATGGAATTGTGGAGTTGGAGGGTCCATGGAGGACATCAGGTCCAACTGTGGATGATGGGACCATGGAATGGTGGAGCTGAAGGTGGTCATGGAGGACATCAAGTCCCATCCTAGTAGTCGGACGGGGCCAGGGAGCCTGACCGGGGATGATGGGATCATGGAATTGTGGAGCTGGAGGGTCCATGGAGGACGTCATGTCTGACCGTGGATGATGGGATCATGGGATGGTGGAGCTGAAGGTGGTCATGAAGGACATCAAGTCCCATCCTAGAACCATAGTAGAGTCGGGACTATGAAGTCTGACCGTGGATGATGGGATCATGGAATCATGGGGCCATGGAGGCCATCAGGTCTGACCGTGGATGATGGGATCATGGAATAGTGGAGTTGGGGGGCCATGGAGGACATCGGGTCCGACCGTGGATGATGGGATCGCGGAATGGTGGAGTTGGAGGACCATGAAGGCCATGAAGTCCAACCCTGGGATCAGGATGATGGGATAGTGGGGCTGGAGGGGCCATGAAGGCCGTCAGGTCAGACCCCCAGAAGCATAGGACAGGGTCCTGCGCCCGAGCGAGGGCTGTGGATTATGGGTATTGTTGTCTCGGAGAGCCTGGAACTTTCCTGCACAGGACGGGACCTGTCTCACTGGCTCCTGCTGTGCACTGTGGGAATCGTAGTCCTGGCCGTCCAGACTCCCGCATGGCACGGGGCCCGCCTCCACCTCCAGTGCTGTGCCCCATGGGGCTCATAGTCCCAGCTCCCCAGCCTTCCGCACAGCCCGGGGCCCGCCTCCCCGCCCCATGCTGTGTACCATGGGGCCCGTAGTCCCTGACCTCAACCTTCTGCACAGGACCGCCCGCCCCGTGCCCTGCACCGTGGGGCCCGTAGTCCCTGACTTCCACCTTCCGCCCAGGATGGGGCCGGCCTCCCCGTGCCGTGCACTGTGGGGCCCGTTGTCCCCGACCTCCACCTTCCGCCCAGGATGGGGCCGGCCTCCATGTCCCCTGCTGTGCACTGTGGGGATCGTAGTCCCAGCTCTCCAGCCTCCTGCACAGGACGGGGCCTGCCTCTCCACCCCATGCCGTGCACTGTGGGGCCCGTAGTCCCAGCTCTCCAGCCTCCCGCACAGGACAGGGCCCGCCTCCCCGCCCCGCGCCGTGCCGCATGGGCCCTGCGATCCCCACCGAGCCCCCTCTCACCCCCCCTCCCCTTCCAGACGAGATCAGCTGGCCCCAGGGGGACGAGGCCGTGCCCCCTGATGCCCGGGACCTCATCCGGCACCTCCTGCGGCAGCGCCCCCTGGAGCGCCTCGGCACAGGTACACCCCGGACCCCCCCCACCCCGGGGCAGCATGTGGGGGGGCCCCCGGAGCCCCCCGTCAAATGCCCCCTCTCCCGCCCCCCAGGGGGCGCCCACGAGGTCAAGCAGCACCCCTTTTTCCGCGCCCTCGACTGGACGGGGCTCCTGCGCCAGAAGGCCGAGTTCGTCCCACAGCTCGAGGCCGAGGACGACACCAGCTACTTCGACAGTAAGGGGGTCCGGGGGGTCCGGAGGGGGGTCTGGGGGGTCCGGGGGGGGTCCGGAAGGGGGTCTGGGCCCCCCCGAACAATATTTGGGGTGCCGGGGGTGCGTGGGGTGGGGGGAATGGGGCCCAGGGCGAGGCGGGAACCTGGGGGGGGGGGGGGCCCACGCTGGACTGAAGCTGGACCCCGGACCCAAACCTGACCCCTAATCCTAATGCCAACCGGACCCCAGGCTGAACCCGAATCGGACCCTGAACCCGAATCCTAAGATGAACCCGAAGCTGACCCTATTCCTTATCCTAACCTTAACCCGAATCTTAATCTGAACCCGAACCCCAAGCTGAACCCGAACCCGAACCCGAACCCTAACCTGACCCCGAATCCCATCGTGAACCCGAACCTGACCCTATTCCTTATCCTAACCTGAACCCGAAGCGTAACCCGAATCCTAATCCGAACCTGAACCCCAAGCTGAACCCGACCCCGACCCTGAATCCTAATCCTATCCTGACCCCGAATCCCAAGCTGAACCCGAACCCGAACCTGACCCTGAATCCGAATTCTCGCCTGAACCCGAACCTTGACCCCGAATCCAAATTCTCACCTGAACCTTGACCCTGAACCTGAATTCTCACCCAAACCGGAATCTTGACCCCGAATGCGAATTCTTGCCTGAACCCAAACCTTGACCCCGTATCTGAATCCGAATTCTCGCCTGAACCCAAACCTTGACCCCGAATCTGAATTCTCACCCAAACCTGAACCTTGACCCCGAATCTGAATTCTCACCTGAACCTTGACCCTGAATCTGAATTCTCGCCCGAACCCGAACCTTGACCCCGAATCCGAATTCTCTCCCGAACCTTGACCCTGAATCTATATTCTCCCCCGAACCCAAACCCGAATCTTGACCCCGAAT